GTATGTAAGTTATGGATTATTTGGACTTATTAGATATTTCCTAACAGCATTAACTGTCTTCTAGGACTCTGCATTCATTTTAATAAGTAGTAATCAGAAAATATATATATGAGTGTTACATATATGTGTGTTATATATGTGTGTGTGTTATATATGTATGTTATACATTATATATAATATATATTACATTTACATATATTATATACATATTATATATATGTATATATATTATATTATATATATATAAGTGTTTTGGTGTAAGGGAAATATGTGAGGGGGGTGTAGAGGGCACAGGATAGACAGAGATCAGGCTTCAGTGTTAGGAATACCTTATTATAAGTCCCATCTCTGACATATATGGCTGTATGACCCTGGCAAGTCACTTAACCTATTAGTGGCTCCAGTCAACTAAGTCTATAAGTTGCAGAGAAAGTACTGATTTCTGCTAGAGGGAGTTTTTCATGGGGGATTCCCTTCACTAATAAAATCTTAGGTTGGCTCAAGTCATATAGATAAGTAATGTTGAAGCTGCGTTCATTGTTCCATTCAAATTGCCCCTCCCCCACATTGATCTTTATTTCTTTATCCTCTGAAAATCTTAAAACCCTCAGAAAGAATCACCATGTAAATATGTGTCTTGTTTCAGAGAGGGAAAAAACCAGGGGATCTCCTGTTCAGGTGATGCTCATTGTCATTCAGAAAACAGCTAAACTAAACTAAACAAAACAACACACATAAACACACAAACCACTTAGTAAAATTACTTAAGCAATTTAAGAATCATCAGGGCCTCTCAGTGGTGCATGGTCTTCTTTCTAAGGCCACAAAACAGGGACATTCAGCCAAATTCTTATCAGTATGCCCCACATCAATGGTCTGGCTCCTTTCCAGTACTACACCCTGGAAGACTTGCCTGAGAAATAATATTATAGCATATGATTAAGCATTTTTCAAAAGTGAATTATTTCTTTGGCATTTCCAAACAAGTGCAGCCCACAGGTTTTCCTAACAGGCTACATTTCTAGTACTGTGAGGCTCAGAAATGGAGCTGAGTAGCTGAAAGTCGGTTCTTAGTACTGGCTGAAATTGATTGTCTATTTTTTCATCTCTCCTCCCCCAAAGCATTTTAATTAGTTCCAATCACCCCAGGAGAGGACTGCAGCAAGCATTGCATTGGCTCTGAAGGCATAGGTTATATCTAAATGTAGCAGAACAACTGTATAATGGAAATGATATTTCTGGCCATTGTGCCAATTCATCCAAATTTCCCCCTGATTGATTCAGCTGCAGTGCATCAAGGTTGAGGGAGGAGATTGCAAGAATCAAGGCTGGTTGAAGCAAGCCAAATTGGCTTGCTATGTATGTGTTACAGTCCTCTTGTTCCTATGACTTAGCTACTCTTGCAAACTTCAATTCCTAGTGATGGAAATATTTAGTTAACTGGCAAAATTTTGAAACTATCCTCTTAGAAAAAACTAAGGAGCTTTGCAGTGCTTGTCTATATAGTGATTCCCCTCACAATCCTGGGTGCATCCCTACTGTCATTTAGTCAGAATATAATAGTCAGAGTATGCTATGAACCATGAGATCTTGGGCACTAGAGGACCCACATCAAATAAACAATGTCATACAAAATCTAAAAGTCTTGTAACGCATTTGCTTAGGATAGATAACCTCAGATCCCTTTTTCATCCTGAAAGATTGGCTTAATCACAATGGTTTACCGATATAATTTAATTGGCAACTTCTTTTGCAGATTCTGTAGATCTTCACAGAAACACTGCTGTCTTTATCACTCTTTCCAAGGAAATTTGTTTTTTTCATCTGACCCTCCAAAGCATTCTATTCTGTGTGCAGATGTTGGTGGCAGGATGTTTGAAAATTCCCTGGCATAGGGACAGGGCTGTCTTTCTAACAAAAATAAACAAATCGCTAAATGTTTCAGGGGAAGAAAAAGTTCGAAAATAGCTCTCGACTTAGGAGAACTGATTTGAATCAGAAATCTAGCCTTTCTTATTGTGGTAAAGTCATTACTGTTCCACATTCAAATGTGATTAGAAAGCATTTTCAACATTATGGATATGGGGAAAGACCAGTTTCCCATTGAGGCAAATGGCCTACACCTGCCTGTTAGCAATTTGAGACAAACAGGCAGAATCTGGAATTTTTACTCCCAAATTTTTTATCTTAACAGCCATTCTACCTGGAATTGTGTTATTTGGGTATAGGGGGTGGGGAAGATTGTTGTTTTTCTTCCTTTTAAATGATGCTAGTAACCTCAGAAAGAAAGCAAACTCAGAAACTAAGCTGGAAAAAGATTTAGTTAGTGATTCAAAAAAAGCAACTACAGATCAACCATTCCTGTCCAAATACAAAGCAGGAGTAACTAACCCACAGCCCTGCCATATCACTGTTGAGTGATAATTTAAATATGGAGTAGTAATATAAACGGCAGCTAGGTGGTGCAGTGGATAATGTGCCAGGCCTTGGAGTCAAGAACTCATTTTCCCTAGTTCAAATCTGGCCACAGAATCTCACTGGCTATGTGACCCTGAACAAATCACTTAACACTGTTTGCCTCAGTTTCCCCATCTGTAAAATGAGCTGGAGAAGGAAATGGCAAACCACTCCAGTATCTTTGCCAAGAAAACTCCAAATGGGATCATGAAGAGTTGGACTGAACAACAACAAAGCCATCATCATAATCATTTGGTTAATTTAGTTAATTTACTGGGTACTTTTAAAGCTCCCTTTTGAGTAAGACACTTTCTCTTGCTAAATCTCCATTTCCTTATTTGTAAAAGAGTTGGAAATCTATATAAGTATAAGGAGGACAGGACACAGAAGACCTCTTAGAATATTTCTAGCTCTAGACCTATGATCTTAAGAAACTATAATCTTGTGATGGACAAGGCAGTCTGTAAAGAACTAAATCATTCTGTAGAGCTTTGTTAGTGTCACACATTTATCCATATGGGCAAAGTCCTGCATTTTACTTTACAGTAATAGAAGTTCCATTGCCCTGGGCATGGAACTAAAGTTTCTTGTGCTCTTTCCATGTGATCTTATACCTAACAACCTTTTCCTCTGCTTCACATTCAATTAAATAAAATAAATCATAGGTACCTACATGAATCATTTTCAAATGTTGTATTATCAGACATGAATACCTTATCCCAACTCATTTGCCATCTCAAGTATACTTCTTAAAAAAAAAGTTGGGGGGCATCTAGGTGGTACAGAGAATAGAGCTCAGATCTTGGAGTTAGGAGGATGTGAGTTTAAATAGGGCTTCAGACTGTTGATACTTAACTGTATGACCCTGGACAAGTCACTTAACCCTGATTGCCTCACCAAAAGGGGGGGAATCTTTTTATTGTTTTTGGGGTGTGCATTGTCTTTTGCAACATGGCTAATATGGACATGTTTTGATTGACTACACAATCATGATCTATATCAAATTACATGCCTTTTAAAAGAGGGAGGAAAGTGAAGAGAAAGATAATTTAGAACTCAAAAGTTTAAAGAACTAATTCTAGATTTGTTTGTTTACATGTAATTGAGAAAAAAATTAAATATAAAAAAAAGAAAAATTGATGCTATGAAAAACACATTCAAGAAAGATGATAATAAATTTTATAACTAATTTTTTTAAAAAGACTTTTGTTCCCTGAGTAAGAAACAATGCAATTGAGGAGCAGAGTAGACTCATAGAACTTCCACTGAATCAGGAAAATAGACATCTACAGAAATAATGGTATTTTAAATAGTTTTAATGAATAAGACATCAGCAGATGAGGAGAACACAGGAAATTGAGGCAAAAGTTTTTACAAAACAAACTTTTATTGCTGCCTTCTGTTTTTTATACCCTTGTTCTTCCCCTACAGAACTTCCTCTCCCTCTTCTCAGAGGATCACACCAAAGAAGATAATCTAAAAGAATACTGATACTGTCACTGTGTCTTCAATAAAAAATCCAGTCATTTCTACCCAGTCCTCACTGACTTGAAGGATTGAAGGACCAAGAATCTCTGGTCTCAATTGCCTTCAGTGAACACCATTGTGAACATGAGAAGTCATAATTATGAAAAAAAAAGAAAAAGGTGAGAACTCAGCCCCATTGCAGAGACTAGAAGCACTTTGGGACATAGGGGTTCTCACCTTTTGAGGGAGGGGTAACAAGAAGAGCTTATACAGGCAAATTGTGAAAAAGTAAAAGACACTAAAAGGTCAGTTCTGAAATCTTTTGTTGGTAAAGCTCTGAGAAAAAAAGAGGTAGTGTTTTATTTTCTGAGTGGAATATTTGAGAAGAAAGGAATCAGAAGTCTCCCTTAAAGAAAAGAAAAAAAGAAATCTGCATATTAAAAAAAATACCATGTCATTCTAATCAATGAATCATAACAGAGAGAGGAGACAAAAAGAGAGGCTTAGGGGGAAATACCAAAGTTTAAAACATATGTTGGTTGTAGGGAAGAAGGCAGTTTGGGGAAAGAGGTGATGTTTTGGGGGTGTTTCTTGCCCTATTTCCATCTCAGAACAACAGAAACGTGATGTCCTGAGGCTTGGAAATGAAATGGGTTATTGCTAAATGACCCAACTACTTGCAACTGCTTTGCAACTACTAAGAGGAAGTAAAAGCTGTTTTCTTCAAGAGCTGTGGGATAAGAAGTAAGGTGAAAATTCAGCCCTAGGGAAGAGTCTGGAAACCCTCTCAAAAATTAGGAGTTCTTACCTTTTGGGGGTGGAGTAAAGGGAGGGGGCAAAGCAGAGGAAGAGACATAAAAGGACTCCCACAACTCAGAGCTAATACCTTTTGCTGCCAGAGCTCAAGGGGAAGAGCCAGCATTACCTCTCCTGACAGAGATATCTGAGAAGGAAGGAACCAGAGACCTAGGAATCCAAATGCAAGAGATTTAATTGACAACCTCCAGGCAGATCTCACTTGCTCCATGTGCCTGGGCTACTTCACTGACTTCACTGACTGTCACATGTGGCCACAGCTTCTGCACAGTGTCTCCTCCAGTGCAAGAAGGGAGCCAAGGAAACCTTAACCTGCCCAGAGTGCAGAGGAGTCATCAAATACAGTGATTTGATGTCCAAGGGGAATCTGTCCATGACTGGCAAAATGCTCAGACAGAGCATGGTGGGCCTGACCACCTGTGATCAACATAAGGAAAAAAGGAAGCTCTTCTGTGAGGAAGACAAGACAGTCCTCTGTGATTCCTGTTTATTAGCCCCAGAGCACAAGGGCCATCAAGCCCTTCCCTTGGAAACAGCTGCTGACAAGAGCAAGGACAAGCTCCAGGAGACATTGACTGTCTTAAAGAAAAAAGAAGAGGAATTTAAAATGGCATTGGATGAAGTGAGAAGGAGAGAGACTCACCGTAAGGAGGCTGCCTCCAATTTGAAATGCTCTGTTATTTCTGAATATGGAAAAATGCACCGGTTCTTATGGGATGAAGAATATCAATACCTGCAAGGAATGGGACAGGAATCCAAAGATAATCTGGCCAAACTGGAGAAGGGCAAGGCCAAGCTGTCCCAACAAATCCAGAATCTGCAATGAAGGATTGCAGAAGTAGAGGAGAATTTGGACAAGGTGCCCTTGGAAATGCTGCAGGATGTGAAAGGCACTATGAAAAGAAATGAGGAACTGCTACTTCAAGAACCAGAGCTTCCTTCCCCTGGCTTGACCACCTGGTACATCACAGGATCAAGAGAAGTGCTCTTGAGTTTCCAGAGGGATATAACTCTTGATCCTGAATCAGCCAATCCTCATCTCATCCTGTCTGAGGACTTGAAGAGGGTCCAGTATGGAAGTGGCCCCCAGGTCCTGCCTGACAACAAAGAGAGATTTGACTATGTTCTTGCTGTTTTAGGGGTCCAGACCTTCACCTCAGGGAAACATTATTGGGAAGTGGAGGTGGGATATAAGACAGTGTGGGAAGTGGGCATCTGTAAAGATTCAGTCATCCGAAAGGGGAAACTCTCCTCATCTGAGGGTGTAAGGACCCTAGCAGGCTGCGTATTTGGAAATCGTTTCGTCCTTTTGAATTCACATAATTGTTTTCAATTTATTCAGCCTGTATACAAAGTAGGCATTTTTCTTGATTATGAAAAGGGACATTTAGCATTTTATGATGTCACAGATGGATGCCTTATCCACAGTCCTTCAAACACAGTCTTTGAAGGGCCTCTTCGCCCTTACTTCTCTTTTGGCATTCCTAAAGAAAAAATTATTCCTGGATCACTCATTATCTGTCCTATTAATAATCAGTAGAAGGCTGTCAACGATGCTTATTACTATGGGTAACTTTTAATGAAAGTGACCGAAAGGGATACTAAAAATGGCTTTCTACTTATTTGAACTCACATTGAAATGGCCAATAAAGTGATGTATGATTATCAAAACCAATTAAAGTAAAGTCTGTCTTGTTTTTCCTTGGTATAAAAATGGGGGCTTTTTAAAAAAAATAGTAGCTGCCATGCAGGCACCTAAATTGGAGATCAGTTGGAAGGGACAGCAGAAAAGGAACAAGAGAGAAGGACTGAGGGGAGCAAAAAGGGAGACAATTTTCAGGTACAGAAGGATGAAGAGGGAAATTTAGAATGCTAAATAAATAAACGAATGAATAAACAAGCAAAGAAACAAACACATGAATAAATGAAAGATTGAATGGTTCTCTTGGATGATGTCTTAGGCTGTGAAAGTTGATGGCAAGACAAAATGAGTTCCACAGTAGACTCAAGGAATTTCCACTGAATCAGAAAATATAAAACCTCTAAAGAAAAAAAAAATGTATTATGAATGAATACAGTGAAGAAGACCTTGGTCTCAAAAACTGAGGGGGCCCAGGTCAGCGAGCTCCAGGAGCTGACCTCAGGTGGCCACTGTGGAGAAGTCCCACGCCCAGTGCAGTCAGGGAAGATGCCTGTGCTGGGGATGCTGGACAACACCACCTTCAGCTTTAAGAAGCTGCTGTATCAGTGCAGGAACCGGAAGTTCAGGCTTCTAGAGGAATCACTATGCCCCTAGTTTATGGGCAGCTCCTTCCTCTGTATTTACTACACAATGACATGAATAATGCTGATTATCTTTGAAAATAAATTCCTCCTGCTAGAAAACATGCAAATTCTGGGCTTGGGGGAATTTGGTCAGTAGGACAAAGAATTTGGCAGAGAAATTTGTCAAGAATCTTTATGACCTTCAGGTCACATCAGTGGTCTGAGTCCATTCAGTCCATCATGGAAGCATTCAGAGATGCCACAAGAAGATGAGCCTTTGTACTGTTTTCTCAGGCATATACTTTGATTATTACTGATGATTTCCCTGCATTTGTTGGACTTCCTGTAGAAGAAGAAATGAAAGAAGCAGAGTCTCAGAGCTAGGATGGCAAGTGACTCCACTATGAGAATGATAATGCCCAAGAAGCCAGGTTCCCAAGTGTTTCCTTGAACAGATTTATTCCTTTATCAGAGCCTGCTCCAATTCCACCACCAATCCCTGATGAATAACAATCAGCCAGATGGACTGACTAGCTGGTCTTTTCTGTTTAAGATCAAACTTGGAAATTTCATTGTATTCTCTTGGATGAAACACCCCAATATTCTTTATTAGGACATGGGATAAACTACATGTGTTAGATACACACTTTTTTGGTCCTTAAACATTGGGCTGAATTCACTATTGAACAGCTTCTTAGTCCCATGATGTTTATTAATTCAGAGTACAACAATATTATGTAGTTAGGCCTTATTCTGTAGTAATTTCTGATGGGGAAACCTACCTGTCTCTATCAATGGATTTAAAAAGTGGTAGGTTGGCAAAGACAATTACCTCTTTATTAGCAGACTTGGTAAATCTCAGCTCTTCTCTGCTGATATTTTCAGTGTACCCCCTGCTGGCAGTGAGATACATGCTGTGAAAGGGGACAGTGGCCCTGAAAGGAGGCATATCACTCAGTATGAAGGGCCTGGTTCAATTAGAGCCATCCACTAAAAAGAAGGAAATGGTGAATCCAAAAGTCATTCCCTGGGTTGGTGTGATGCTGCTGCATCCTCTTAGGACACCTTCCAGAATGAGAAGCATATTCATGCTCTGGCCCTCCCCTATTCCTCAAATTCATGGAGAGCTTTTTGATAAGAATGTTGGCATTTGGGGACCTGCTTTTAGGTGGTTCTTAGGGTGCAGAGGACAATGGGTGTTGGGTCTAGAGGGCAGAAGGGGACTAGCTTTGTTGAATTTGCCATTTGATGAAGACTTGCTAGGAACCTGCTTGAGAAAGAAATTACATTACAGAGGGGATTTAGGCCACATTGTTGAACTTGAAAACAATGCTTTTGAAATTCTGGAGCTTATTGGCTCCCTATTTGGGAGGACCTGACTTATATTACCCTTATGATTCTGTTTAAAAACAGAATTTCACAAATTCATGAGGATTGGGTAGAGCATTCTTTCACCTTTTCATGGTGGTGATTGTCATTTAAATAAGTTCTTTTTATTTAGTGATTTCATTCATTGTTGAGACTGGTAGATTCTCATATTTGTAGTAAGTCTTCCTTGGGCACACTGTACTATTGTACCTTTTTTTTTTTTTCTGAAAACTATAGTTATTTTTCAAAGGCTCCTGAATCATACACTGTTGTTTTAAAAGTCAATTAAACATGTGGGACAATTAATTTCACAGGCTATTTATTTGAACCCTTTGAAGTCCTGGAGGTTTTTCTAAGTGTTGAAGGAATTGTAATTTCAGTGACATTAAATATATTTACACTAAAACAAACAAACAAAAACAAAAACAAAAAAAAATTAAACTCAATGGATGAGTGAATGGTAGGAAATGAAGGCAAGACATCTTACAAAATAAACTTTTATGGCTCCCTTCTCTTTTTATACCCTAGTTCTTCCACCAATTTCAAAACTGTACTTCCAAGTGAGAGTCAACCTCAGAAATTTTGAGTCTTCACTCTTGACAAATGCATCTTCACATAGAGAACACTTTCATGCCATAGAATAGGATGTTCTAGTATTCAAAATATATTCATTAACAAAAAGTAATACAAAATATATCTCTGGTCGCACCCCACCCTATATGTTATAACCTCATTGGCTTTTTACATACCCCTAGTCCCAGCTGTTGTTTCTTCTACGTGCGAAACACTTTTGTTAAATATTTCTAAAAAGTCATAGAAAAATAAGACTTTCTTTCTGCCCTCAAGGAGATTACAATCTACTAGGGCAAGTGAGACCTGTAAGCAAATACTTTTAACATAAAATATAATCTTCCACGATGTAAATGCAAAAGTTGGATCTAGATGATGATGATGATATATTTTTACAGCACTTACTACATACAAGGCATTAACAATTATTGTCTCATTTGGTCCTCACAATAACCTTGTGAGGTAGGTGTTTTTAGTATCCCCATTTTAAAGATGGGGAAACTGAGACAAATAGGGGCTAAGTGATTTGCCCAGGGTCACACAGCTAGTAAGTGTCTGAGGTCAGATCCAATTCTGAATCTAGGTCCAGCACTTAAACCACTGTGCCACCCAGCTGCCCCACATTTCTTCACTCAAATAACTACTTCTAGTTAAAGTCTTTGTATTTGTTGTTGTTCAGTTATTTCAGTTGTGTCCAACTCTTCTAGACTCCATTTGATCCCATTTGAGATTTTCTTGGCAATGTCATGAATAAAAACCCCAAGAGACAGAGTTTCCAGGTAATTAATTATTTATTAATTGGGTTAGCTAAAAAGCAATAAATTGATGATCAGTGGTTTTTCTTGGTAAACAAAGAAGGCAAGGGAGACTCTGAAACACCTTAAATCAGGTGTGTACCTTCTGACAGGGAACTCATCTGACAAGTGAAACTTAACCCTGATTGTTGGACATTAACGAGGAAGTGGGCTAAAAGTCTTCAGCTCTCCAGCTGGTTTGATCATGAAAGCCTAGTAGCCTCCAACAATCTGGGCAGGGAAAGTCATTTCCATCCTACCTCTCTGACTAGTTTTCTCCTTCATAAGCTGGGTTGCCTTGAACTATAATGGAAGGTCTAAAGAACAGGGGTTCCTTCCCTCAGGATAAGGTCTCACCCAGACTGGATTCTGTTTATACAAGAAACAGCAAGTGGTTTCTCAGTTGGGTGTGGTCCTACCCAACCAAGTTAAAGGTGGATGTGATACCTCCCAATCTAGTTAGTGGCTGAGTGAGGTGAAGTACCTCCCAACCTAGTTAAGAGCATATGCCTTGGAGGCTAGAAGTAATCTTATCAGGCTGAGAACTGACTTTTTCAGGAGTAGGGTCTTCACAGAAATAGGAGGAAAAGGATGGATTAAAAATTTATAATTAGCTATTAACATAATTATATCATTAATTTCTCTCACAAAGACAGTGAAGTGGTTTGCTATTTTCTTCTCCAGCTCAATTTATAGATAAGGAAACTGAAACAAACAGGGTTAAGTGACTTTCCCAGGGTCACACAGATAGTAAGTGTCTGAGGCTAGATTTTTAATTTAGGAAGGTGAATCTTCCCTACTCACCTAGTTGCTATTAGTAAAGGTTTAAGGGTTTATTGAATGACTATTTCTGAGGCCAATCTGAAGTCAGGTCTTCCTAACTCCAGGCCCAGGGTTCTATCTGCTAAGTCACCTAGTAGTTCTCAAGTCCTTATTGCCCTTTACTTTTAATTTTTTTTTAATTTTTAATTTTAATTTTTATTTATTCATTTTTTTTAGGCAATTGGGATTAAGTGACTTGCCCAGGGTCACACAGTTAGTAAGTGTCAAGTGGTTGGTCTGAGGCCCGAATTTGAACTCAGGTCCTCCTGACTTCAGGGCTGGTGCTCTATCCACTGGGCCACCTAGCTGCCCCTACCTTTTACTTTTGTTATTGCTCTTACTGCTATTATAGCCTCCTAACCTATCTAAAAGACTCTAGTTTCTCTAGTTTTCAGTGCATGCTTTGCAAATTTGCCAAAGTAAGCTTCTCAAGGCAATAGACTGAATGTGACACCATGCAGATCAAAATCCTTCAGTGACTCCATATTGCCTAAACCAAAACTAAAAACTCCTTAGCTTGACATTTAAGGTGCTCTGTAGTCCAGTTCCCACCTACTGTATAGGCATTATTTTATATTATCCCCCTTCACAAACCCTATGTTCCATACAAAGTCACTATTTGCAAAACTTTCTTCTATTTTTCTTCACTTCTCACCTGATGGTACTCCTACACTTTATCAGAAGCTCATCCATTGGCTCTCACACTTGTGGGATGCCCGCC